GGCTTGTTCTGAGGAAACGGGGATGGCTGGACTCGCTCTGATTTCTCCGGAGAGACTCGCTGCCCTGGTACATTCCGTTACCTCCAGCAGAGCCCTGGGAGCAGGGAATGCAGTCAGTGTCCCATCAGTGCTAGTAAACACCAGTTGTGTTTAGAGAGGAAAAATACAAGTCCTCCTCATCGCATTGATGGTGCTGAGGAAGGTCTCCCTGCTGCACAGGCACTGCAGGAATTCCATACCTTTGAACCTGGGGAGATCAAAAGGCAGAAGTGCGGGTTGCAGCTGATGTGTGGAATTGAGGGTCACACCGGCTGCAAGGGCCAGGTGGTCACTGGAAATGGGAATGAAGAAAACTTGGGCGATTTGGAAGGGGAAAGAAGAGAGCAATCAAGTTTGGAGAGTACAGATTGTTTCTGGGATTAGGAAAGCATAGCATACTTTTGAAAATTGTATTTTCCTTCAAAGTTTTTTGGGTTGCTTTTATTTTCTTCTGACAAACTACCTTTAATGTCTTTGGAATAAAGAGTTGAACATGTGATGGAAAATGAAAAGTTCAGAAATGTGAGAGAAAATTGTAGAAACTCCAAGGAGTAAAGTTAAGAGAATACTTCTTTTCTACTGGTATCCTTAGCCTGGTACATTTCAGGAAATTATGGTGAAAATCTCCCCAAACCTTTAGTTCCTTTTCACTGTGGTCAGGTTATGCTTTTCATTTATGGGAAATACCTCTGCAAAGAAATATAAAGTGCCTTGGAAATAAGCCTGCTTAACACAAACACATGGTGGGACAAATGAAGCAGCGTAAATCAGGGATTGGAGGGATTTTCTGGCATGCAAGAGCAGGTTTCCCATTGCATACAACTTCCTGCTTTGCTTAGGGAAACTGTGTAAACCACATAAAATTGTGCCTTATTTCTGTTCCTTTTACTGTTTCTGGTGATTGTAGAAAGCATTCAAAACAAAAACCACACGGCAAATCCATGGTGTGATTTGGAATCTGTCCTGTCTCGGGAGCGAGCAGCTCAGCTCTCTGCACAGCTCATCTGCATTCCTACAGAGAGAGCAAGACTCGAGCTGTAATTGCACAGAAATGCTCGTTCTGATTTCATAGATAATGATTTTGGTTAACCAAGCTGCTGAGAAACCTTCCCTGTGAAGATCTGGCTGTGGTGTGCTCCGGTGAAAGGCAGGAGAGGCCATGCGGGAGCTCAGGAATGTGAGTGTGTGGGCCAGGGAGAGGATGTAACATTTAATGTATATTTTATAAAAAACAACTCTCTACCTACCGGGACTGGGGAAGCGATAAAAGTATTACTTTAAGTAGTGCTAACACAATCTAAGTGCAGATAGTTACCTACCATCTGTTTTTCAATAAATAGCTATTATGCTAATTTCTGTTTCAATGCGCAACAATTAAAGCCTGGGAGTATTCCTGTGATATTCAACAGCTGTTGCCTTTGAAGGTTTTATTTATCCTTCTGAAGTGCAACAATTTTAGTTTCATAGTCAACTCTGCTTGCAAGAGTTGGTTTTTATATCGAAAATTGCGGTGCATTGAGATGCAAACTCGGGCCGTGCCTGAGCAGCAATCTCCAGCCATGGTCTCCATTAATATTCTGATTTTCCTGGAAGCTGTTAAGGATACCTTGGGAGGATATGGATTGGAAACGCTTCTGTGCATGTCCAGTGAATATTCCCTGTGTTTGGAAATAGAACAACACAAATGAATCATTCTGGGGAGCATTTGCACTGTTTTGGTTCATTTTGTGATGAGCTGACTTGGGGAAGAGAGCCAAGATGGATTCTCTGGCCTGTACGAGTGAGCAGCACAATTTCCCTACGATCATAACCAGCACAAGGAAATTAGATCTCTAAGTGGGTTGAATCTGATTTAGTAATAAGTCAATTTAATCACTAATGACTTCAAACGCAGATTTTACAAGGTGATCAATGGCAGTATAGCAATGATCGATCAATGGCGTTGTCTTTAATTGGATTTTTATGGGTATAATATAGTTTTTCAGAATTAATGTACCATTGCATTGTGTTGTTACTCTCTTAACTCAATTTTTTAGGAGAAATGATGCTTCAAAATGCTCGTTGGTTTTTGAAATATTGTTTTAAGGGTATGCTAATAAAAATACAGATGAAAAATTAAATGCTTGCTTTTAGTAATTTTATGTCTGATTTTGTTGGAGTTGTTTAGCCGTGTGTTTTTAAAACATTGAAAAAACCTCACATCCCTCATATTTCATGGCAACGAGGAGGCAAAATATCAAAGGCTAGGCAGGAGCATGTGCTGCTCTGAATGTGAATCTTGAGGAGCTGAGTAAGTCCCTGTCCTCAGCAGTTTGACATAGTAATCTTCCCTGGAAGTAATCTCCTTGTCCCATGTGTCCTGCTTTAATCTATCAGTATTTCTGCAGTGTGCAGCAAGAAATTGATTTTCAGTAATTTTAATGGCTGAATAACTGGTGCTGTCCCAGAGTGTTTTTTCATATTTGCAGTGGCCAATGTGGTAACTGAGGGCAGTGTTCTGGATAATGGGTTTCATTAGCTCTGATGCCTGAGGTAAAAAAGCAGTAGGTGGGAATAAAGCCTTGTTTTTGATGTCTAGACGTTCATTTCAGCTGTTGCTGCAATATGATACATTAAAAGGAAATATGTAACATAGCTCTGAGGAAATATGTATTCTTTGAAACTAATTCTGCTTTTAAACTGCACAAGGCAGTGTGACCTGAATTATTAAAATGTGGGTGGCTGGATTTCTTAAAGGTATAACTGTCTCTGCAGCACTGACACAGCCTCGACTTGCCTCCTCTCCTTCCTTCCTATATTTCTTTTAAGTAAAATATGTCAGTTTGGCCACTGAAGCAGAACAGAGATCTTATTATCTTTCCAGTATCTCTGCTGGGAGACCTAAAATTATTGAAGTATTTGCTTTGATATTTTGCTGTGACTTCTCTCCTTGAAATTTTTATAATGGATCTTTTTTTTTTTTTTGAGAACATGGCTAGCTTCATAAAAATTGTTGGACACTTTGAAGACCTTAATATCTCTGACTTGAAAATAAAAAAGATCCCAAGCCAACTAATCTGCTCATTAATGTATGTTTAAATTGTAAATTTCCCGTGTAAGTCTAAATTATTGTAGTTGCCTTTCATTCTTTTAACATTTGATCTGCAAGAATAAACATAAAAATCAGCACAAGTGTTTTATTCATTTTTTGAACCTATGAAAACAAAATCATAACAAATGCCTAAAAACTTTATATAGTAAGGCTGTTGATTAATTCCCATTCTGTTTGAACACCAGCAGTGAGATTAACACTTCCACTGTTATCCATTATAAGTGTCAGATACTCGTTTTTCTTGTCCTGGATTTTCTGCTATTCTTGATAGTTTTTTTTCTGAGAATCCAGACTTTTAGAGACAGAATATTGCTGTACTTAGTGGTTTATTTTGGGAGCTAATTTAATTTTAAAAAAATAACAAAACATAACTAAGGAAAGCAGTTGCTTCTTTTGCTGAGAAATGACGTGGTGAAGTTCTCCCTCTGCTGCAGAGCAGCGAGAAGGGGATGAGCTGCCTGTTGAAATAAAAGCTTCTCCCAGGTGTTATCCTTCTCCAGAGTGTACAGAAGCTTGCATAGGGTAGTTAACATACACAGAAATATATGGATTTATACCCAGAGCTATAGCTGCATGTGTGCACAAACCTGTCCCAGTGGAGGCGCAGTCACCTGACAGATGACCCTGGTGAGAAGGAGCTTGGGCTCCTGGAGGTCACCCCGGCTGTCCAGGACGGGATTGCTGCAGACAGGGATCCCATCAGCCCTGGCTTTGTCTCCCATGGCCTGGCAGGCAGTGACCCACAGTTTGTCCCCTCTTTGGGGGCTTTGCTGCCTCTCCAAACTCATCCTCTGCTCTGACTTCCATGGAGGAAAATTGTGCTCTGTTGTGCTTTCTCTCACTAAAACATTCCATCTGTCCTTGATTGTTCTCCTAGAAGTTCTCTGTTTTGGAAGATGTCTTTCACACCTGTTGTTCAGTGTTGCATTTGTTGGGTCTAAAGAGAAATATTTCAACTGAAGTAACAGAAATGCCTCCAGGACAGGCCAGAGGTGTTCCCAAGTTTTGGAACCTGCACAGCACCTGTGTTCTGCTGGCTGTGCCTGGGAATGCTATCAGGAGCATGGGAAAGCTGAGGGGGGCTGCAGCTGAATGTTTTGAGTGTTAAAAGCATTAGAAATCATCATGTAGAGAGACAGAGACTATTTCCTATGCTTCAGTTTGCTATTAGGCATTTAAAATATTCTTCAAAATCTGAAGTCTAGTTAAATAATAAGTGTCAGGAGCTTTGGAATTTACAGGGATAGTCTAACTTCTAGTGTTTTGCCAAGCTTTTTTATTGGTCACCATATGCATCCTGAAGTTGTAACTTGCTCCAGTCATTTCAACACTTTTCTTGTGGAGTCTGGATCAGGGAGCCAAAGAGCAGAGAGAAAGTGAAATGCTGTACTTCTAATTTTTCCTCCTCATTTTTATGGCATCAGACGTATGTACATGCTCTTAATTGTAAGATGTACTTTTTTAGTAGAATAAAGAAGCATTAGAGATAATTACAGTAAGTATAGTGCTTTAATATAGCTGGGAATTAAAGGCATTATTTATTATAGGAAAATGGTTATGGTTATGTCTTATGATACACTTAGAGTTAAATTTAATAGGGAAGTAATTTTATTTCCATTTAATATATAATTTATGTGAATTCTGTGTACTATGAAAGGCAGTTTGGAAAATTACAATATTGAGGGTTGATACCACTCCAGATTTCCCCTTTTCTCTGTCCCACTCCACTGCTGCTCCTCAGCCAGTCTGACCTTATGGCACACTTGACCCTTGGGACTTGGCTGCAAGGTTAACATTGCTTTTCCCTGTTTTTCCTTGGATTTTGGACACCTTCCTCTCAAGCATTTCCTCTGCTGAGTGCAGGACAGCCATGGCTGCAGCTGTGGTGGGGGGTAGGGAGGGGGAGTGCTGCCAGTTTCCATTCCCTCACCCAGTCCCTCCTGCTGGGATGTGTAGCGCTTTCATGTCTGGGATTGTGGAGGAATAACAGGCTGGGGTAGCCCAGGGAAACTGAGCAGGGAAAAAGAATACAGGTGATGTCCAGACACAAAAGAGTTCTGGATTAAAATTATCCCAACTCTACAGAATATTACATTCAGTGGTGTAAAGCAGTGTGATCTGATCTGAATTCTTCTGAAATGGCAAAATTATACTTGCAGAAAATAGTTCTGAGAGATGATATAAGCTGTGACAGGGTCCTGTTAGTCTGTTGTGTATACCTAGGAGTAGGTAGGGAGTTAGGATTGAGAACTTCAGAACTGGTGGTGGGAACTTTCCTGTAAAATCAGAAAACATGGTTCTTGTCTCCCCTATTTGTCATGAAGTTCCTAAAGCAGGGGCAGTACTGGCAGTACAGCCTAAGTGAATTTATTTTGACTTTTACAGGTTCTGTCAATTTCATGACGTTGTCCAAAATTTTGATTTTTTAATTTAAATACTGAATTTTCAGGCAGGTGTGATCTCTCATAGTGTAACTAATCTGTAGCTTTTCATATATTTGAGGATTATGAATTTTTTAAGTGCAAGACTCGACCTGCCTCACAGCTTCTGGGGCTGCAGTAGTTCTGGGCGGTTGAGAATTTATACATCAATGGCTCTGACCGTGCACGGGGGTTGTGAGTCCCTTAAGCACAGTGTTTTACCCATGAAAGCAGAGTTCTGTGCAGTAAATAGCCGTGGCCCATTACATCCTCGGTGTCAGCGAGGCTGGCAAGCATTAAAGGGCCTGCAGTGGTTTCTATGGAAAAGCTCCTTGGCTGCTGCGTGTGCCCGGGGGCACAGGTCTGTGTCTCCATTCTCCCGGCAAGTCCTGTGCTGTCAGATAAGGTGATTTTAGGTACTAAAACCCGGCTTTTTCCATTCTGCACGAAGAGAGAGGCTCTGTTACCGACATTAACATATCACAACATTGCACATGCAAAAAATATTCCTTTTCTTGTCTGAGTGTGTGAGTTACAGCTCCTGCAGAAGCAGCAGAACAGCGGCTCGAGGCTTTGAAGGCTGCTGACAATATTAGTATTTTCCATGGAGCACTAACTCCTTAGAAGCTTGCCTTTAAACATGGTTGTAAACTATGCTGAGATAATCATCTCTGAGCGATAGACGCGCTGCTGGGAGGTCTCGTCCTGCAAATTGGCCAGGGAGGGGTGTGAAGTATTCAGCGCTTTTAAGGTGCTGTAGAATTTTATGTTTGCACTTTTAAAGATTTGCCGACTACTCTTGTGAAATTGAAATGACAGAACTCAGACAATTAACGAATTCTTACTCCTTGAAAAAGTTGTTTTATCATCTGTTTTCACTCTGCGTTTTCTGGCTGAGTAAGATTTGGAATCTGGTACAGGCATACCAGAAATAGTGCTAGTCCTGGTAGTTTTAGCACCCAAAAGCCGTGAGTAAGGACAGCAGATATTTCTGAGGGTTGTCTGTCCTTCAGGTGACTAATTCAGGCTGCATTCTACTCTGAGAGATAATTAGACTTACTTTTTTAAACTCGGAAATCTCTGCAGTTCAGTACTGAGTGTACAGTTTTTATTTTGGTGTAAAATCTGCTGTGTATTGCTAAAATGGCAATAGTTGAAGTCAGTACAGTGGAGGAATTGCACTTGAGTGTGACAGCGAGAGGTTCAGGGGAGTTGTTTCACGTTGTTTCAGTTATGTAAATTGATTTTTACACCTTTAATGATTGACTTTGTTTTTGATTGTCGGCATCTGTGGTTAAGTTTTAAAGGATCTCTCAGCAGTGGTGGCAAAGAATGATCGTGCATTCTTCACCCCTGTACTTGAATACGGAATGCTACAAACAAATGGGTTTGCTTTTATGCTTTTGTGTTTGCTTCTTCTTTTTTTTTTTTTTTTTTTTAATTCAAAGGCTGCGTCTTTGGCAAGTAAAGGTTAAAGCTGCTCGGGTGATATAGGTAATAGTTGAAATAGTTTAATGCAACATGCTACTTTGAAAATTAAAGCTGTTGAAGATATGTTTTGGATAAATGTTTGTATTTCCCTGTTCTGAGCATATTGACATTTTGTGTTTTTGTAGTGGTGGAAGAAGGATTCTGGGAGAATGGACTTTCCTATGAGTGTAGGACCCTGCTCTTCAAAGCAATTCATAATCTTCTGGAAAGGTAAGAAAAACTCTAGTGCTCTCAAATATTTCATTTGGATACTTAAAATCATACAGGATACCTAAAGAGCAATTATATTATTACGGATCTTAAACTACATTTTTTAGAGTTAGACTTTGAATCCAAGAGAACAGGACAGAGATGAGTCTCTTAAGTCATTGACTCTGGTAATTTATCTTAAAATGCTGTGCAAACAAATTCAACACTCATATAAACAATAATATTGATACATATTTCTGCTCAGATTTTTGCTAAGGAGTTGCTTTAAAAGCAAAGAAGGGGGAGTTTTCACCTTCTGCAAGTGCTTAGAGAGTGTAATTGTATCTGACCTTCACTGCCTTGATGAGGTTAAATGATACATATCTTTAAAGCTCTTAACTCTCTTTCTCAATTATCCTGGTTACGTGAATGTTAAAATTTGACTACATTTGTGCACAATATTCAAAGTGAAGCTAAACAGTTCCTTGCTCTGATAAGCCATATATATATATATATATATATATATATATATATATATGACTTGACTGCAGAGTTATCCTGTGATTAGTTAATACACTTATGCCCTTTTTCTTCTTAATCCAGCTATCACCTTTTAAGACTACCATGGCATCTTGGGCTATATAATTTTATTCTTTCTGTTTCTGCAGTTCTTCAGGTCATCATCACCTTCCTGTATTACATCCTAGTTCTTACAAATTTGGATATCTTCTTACAATTAAATGTTATTAGACTATTCCCACTTTCTCTGAGGTTCTAATAATAATAATAACAACAACAAAATAGAATGCACCTTTGTGTTGCAGTAATTTTGTAGAATGCAGCCTTGGATATTTTTTCTTTCAGAAAATAAGCAAATGGAGAACACTTTCATCTTGTCTCTATTAGTGTCCTGTTTGCTTTGATGTAGATTTACTGGTAATGAGGTTTGCATTATGTTCCCGAGGCTGTGTTTCCATGGGGTGACTGAGTTACCTGTGTGCATATCCCCAGGTACAAGGATTAGTTGTTTTATTCCCTGTTTTCTATCCATCAGTCTCTTCAGGGGATTTTTATAAAACTTGTAGGGTACTTAGAATGAATGAAAGTATAAAAATTAAATTCCAAGTCTAGAATGTTCATTAGTTCTTTTGCAGCTGTATAATATAAAAAGGAAAATTAATTTGATATGTGTTTATTAATCTGTGGTACCCAGCCAGCTGACTTTTAAGTGCAAAGTGGTTAATTTTATTCTTTGGACCTCTTTAAACTTGTGAAATAAATTTAATTTCTTTTTAATATCTAACTTAATTGAAATCAGTTGGCAGAGTCAACAGAACTGTTCTGTCCAGCTGTGACTGGAGTCTTTTTCTTCCAGCAATAGTTGGTGAACACACCTCAGGTGTTTGCTGACAGCCTCAGTTCATGTCCTGATAAACTGACACTATTCATATCACGATAAGATTATATGATTAATGTTGTGATAAGATTATATGATTAATGTTATGATAAGCTGATATGATTCATGTCATGATAAGCTGATACAACTCCTGCTGTAGTCCCAGCCCTAGACATGAGCATCTTCTTGCTGCTCTGCTGACTACAGTTTTTACACTTTATTAGTTGAATTTAATTCAAGTTATTCACTTTTTATTTATTATTTTTAATTGGTCTGCTGTACCAAATCTGAACTTAACGTAATAATGACTTCATTTAACGTAATAGCAACATGTGTGCAGGCTTTATTAAATAGCACTTTAACCTTTAAAGTCCTGTTTTACCCGGTGTTCAGGAAATGCCCCATTAATACAGCAGAAGGCTCGGATCCGTTTCTGGCCCATCAGTGCCGGGTGGTGCCGGCGGTTGCGGTTTTGCAGGGTTTGGGGTTTATTTCGTGTTTATTTTGCTGGAGGCTGAGGGGGATCGGCCGTGGCGGGAAGGAAATGGCGGGAGGAGGAGCCCGAGGGATGTGTGGGGACAACTTTGACCTAACTCTGGCAAAGGCAAGAAAAATGGCCTTTACACAACTGATGGTGTTTTATTTTTTAAATTTTTTTTCCTTCTCCCCCCCCGCACACTAATGCTCAGATTATGTTAATTGGCAGTATAGAAAACATTACAAGATTTGAGGGATGAGTACTCAAAATATTATGCTGTCATTTCGTAACGATTGGTGTGCCCTTGGCAGGTCATTTTTTCATGGAAAAATCAGAAATACAGGACGTCAGGCGCCAGCGAAGAGCTGGAACAGCTGCGCTGCTGAGGGAGGGATCACCCAGCCCTGAGGGGGGAGAGAAGCCAGGACCTGCAGGGTGTTTCTTGTCTTTATATCATTAACTAACTGCTTTTTATGACCATGTATTAGTGTTTTGGTTTTTTTTTTTTTTGTCACAAGTCCATTGTTGCAGCTCACTGTGAAGGACTAGTTACCTTTAGTGCTTATACAGCAAAAATAATCATACTATTGTGAACTGCCCACCCGGCCGCATCTGAGATCCATGCTGCTGCAGGCATGGCTCTGATTTTATATGGGATTATTCCTTAAATAACCCATGATTTAGTTTAGCATGGAGGGTTGACTGATTTTTAAGGACAAATGAAGACTTTTTTTCTAGAAAAGCAGCATTAGCTTGAGGCAGTTAAACCTGCTGTGGTGAGACACAGCGATGTGGCATTGAAGTGTGTGTGATGGGAAGAGTTTATTACATTTTTTTGCGACTACAGATTATTTTCTTTAGGGATCTGATGTAAACTTCACAGACTTCCTTTTGTTTGTATAAAACATGCTGGCACTGACAGAGTCTCTGATAGCAAATATTTCCTAGGGAAATAGTTGCTGAAGCTTTTTTTTCCCCACCTCTACTAATGTCTTTAGATCTCTGCTGCCTTAGCTTTCGTAGTCAGTTTAAGGTATTAGTTATTCAACTGAAGTAGATTATTTTTGCTTTAATTGAGAAAGTGCTGGTAGAATTTTCTTCAGCTTTAACTTTAGAAAGTTCTGCCAAGTTTATACAGAAAAATTAGGAGCATATTAGTATTTACGTTGTCAGTCGTCCATTTCCTGTGTCTTCTAGGTATGCTTTTGAAGTGTAGATCACACAGCTTTTTGAACCTTGCAGAATGTACTTGCCCAGAAAGTTTCATGTGATTTTTAGTTTTTTTTCCCCTTTGTTTTGGCTGATCTCTAGCAGCTGCTATAGAAACAAACTATTGGAAAACTTAGAAGAGGGGAAAAATCCAATTCTTTCATCTGAATAAAAAATACTGAATAGATGTGAAATGTATGGGCAAGGCTTGCATATTACTTGTAATGGTGTATAAACCACTAACAACAAATAACCAGTTTTACAGAATTTTTGAAGCATATTATTTACCTTACTGAAAAATATGCCTTAATTATGAATTTCTGTGTGTGATCCCTTGGGCAGCATGTTCCAGTGTACATGTTTAATGTATGAGGCATACTCAGGTTTGGCAAATTGCTCCTGTGATTCATCTGCACAGGTGGACTTAGAAAGGCACCAGGCACTCCCTAACTTGTCCATTTAAATTGGGTATTGATCACTTTGAGTCCTCACTGTGGTTTTTTTTTTTTAAGAAGAATATGTAGTTTCTAAAAAGAAACTGGACTCTCAAAGGGACCACAGAAAATGGAACTTATTGCTCTAATTTTGGTGATGTGGGAGTATATTTGATGAAGTGTGGTTTCTGACAGAGGGAGCAGTAATTGTGGGAGTTTCAGCACCTGAAATCATGCTGGGGATCATGTGAAGGGAAAATTGAATCCTTGTTAATATTCCCTTAATGCAATTTTCTGTCATTCCTATACTGTACCATTTACGTGCCAAAATAAGGGAATGCATATTCTTTATCATCTGAAATCTGAAAGACTGGATAGAAAAGAGTCAGTACTAAAGAATGGCCTTTGTTCAAGAAGAGGAGTGTGAGAACTAGAATGAGGGATCAGTCAGCAGAAAGAGTAGCACAGAGTGGAAAAGATTGTGGCAAAGGTGAGGGGAAAATGCATGTGTGAAGTTCAGCATCAGTGACAGCATCATGACGTGGGGCAGGGATTTTCTATGACTGATGTGGGAAAACAAAAAGTGCAACCCAAAACCTACAAACTTTTATTTCAGTCTGATTGAAATTCAGCTTCTTAATCCCTCAGAGTCACTGTCTTCAAAGACTCCCTTTAATTACACCGTTAGATGTAACTAGTAATTGTTGCTGTAATTGTTTTCTAGATGCCTGATGGATAAAAACTTCGTAAGAATTGGGAAATGGTTCATACGGCCCTATGACAAGGATGAGAAGCCAGTTAATAAAAGGTAAGGAGATCTCTGCATCAGATCCTGCTCCTGTCAGTGTTGTGGATTGTGGGGTGGTAATTGGATGCTGAATTTTGGTGGTAGTTTTTCCGCTTCTTTTGCCATGTAGCAAGTAAAAGCACAGACACCGTGTTCACATCAGTAATACATAGAAAGCAATTAAGTAAGTTTTCAGGCCTTGTTATGATAATTTAAGATAAGAAGGCGAGGTTGGTATTTATCCATTAGCTCCATAGAAATGTCACATTTATTAATATCTTTTGAGCAGCATCTGCCTTTTCCTCTCATTATACAACAGAATTGCAGGCAGTTATAACAAATTATTTTAATTTCTGGACACTAAACCCCAGCCTGACATTTTAAGCTGTAAAAGAAGTCGTCTATAGATTTCCTGATTTATTTTCCTTAAAGATGCCACCCTCAATACATGGCTTTCCCTGCTCAGGCAGGCTGACAGATCAGACCTATAGGAGTGATTAATGTGCTTCTCCCATTGCAACACAGCCATGGAACAGGGGTAGCTGGCTCCCCTGCTCGCTATTTCCTCTCCAGCTCTAAAGGTTACAATGTTCTCAGATCTTCTGGTACTTGCATTTATAGTCATCCGCTAAACAAGTTCTGTCAAAAATAATCTGAGTTAAGCTGAAACACAGATTTTCTAACGGGAATCATTTTGACAGAACTGGGTTAGGAAGTGACTAAACACGCAGTTATGCTGGGAGATTTGAAGGTAATGAGCAGTGGAGATGAAGTGGGGTGGCAACTTCTTCATCCATCCAGCACAGCTGCAGTCACACAGCGTCTGATGGCAGGGTGGGGACAGGTGGAAATCATCCTGCACATCAGACCTGTCTTTTCCCTCTCATTGTGATCTCACTGCAAGGTTTAGCTGCAGAAATGTTACAGTGCAATGCTACAAACCGTTGACTTCCTTCTGTAGCAACCAGCTGCTTATAAACTGCATTTGGTTTTGAGAGAATTCAGGAACTGACCATGGATTTGTCTCCTTTCTAAAACCTGAAAGTGTTAACATAGCTTGGAGTTACCTGCTTTGTTACTGTTTACTTTGTGGCTGACACTGTGCGTGTGTAACCTTTGATTTCACATTGATCTGATGGCAAGGAGCCATGGAAAGGTCCAGGTTTTTCCATAGCTTCCCCTGTCCTGGCTGTGCGTAACCACCTTTCTCCCTCGTTTTCCCTGCTGCTTTTCTGATCATACCAACATCAGCTTAATTTTCTGCAAGATTAATTCCCTTAAGTGACGTAAGTAGGGGTCAATTCCAGTTTGTGGAAAAGAGAGGCAGCTCCTTTCAGCAAAAGCTGTTTGTTTTATCCACGTCATTGCAGCCTGAGTGCTCAGATTAAATGTGCTTGTGAGTGTCCTGCCTGTTCCTGGTGTGTATCAATTTAATAAATTAAGCATCTGATACAGTAGATGATGTCTGTCAAAAACAGCAGCAGCACTGGCGTGGGAGGTAATGTCACCTTAGAATTCTGCCAGATTAGTAAATCCTGTGTCTGATTTACGTGTGTGTAACACCAAATCAACCTGCACAGTGAGGGTTCTGTGGGGGATAATTGCATTTGTAAACAGAAGAGCAGTCTGCACATAAAGAAATCTGGCCTGGAAGATGTCACAAAACCTGAGTTCATGTTAAACTCAGTTTGTGTTTAAAGTATTCCATATATAAATCTGACACTGAGGATTTAAGGGTTGGAGGGTGCACTCTTGATTTGAAGAAGATAATGTTTGTTGTTGGTTGAGGGGAGGTGTTTGTTTCTCTCCTTATTTTTATAAAGTTCTTGTCACTAGAGATCCTTTGGATATGCACCATTTCAAAAGTGTTTATGTAGCAATAATAATTATGCCTAATTTGAAATAAGTTTTTTGTCATTTCAGATTTCTTTTGTTTTTTGCTATATATATAACATTAAATTAACTAATCTTCCTGAAAGATTGCAGAAAAGACTGCAAAAATGGACAGTAAAGTCAATTGTGGACAGTAGCAACAAGTAGAAGGAGGCTTTGGGGACTAATCTGTCCAGACACCTTTTATTTAATATTTAAGCTTTCTCAGCATAGCACAAAAAGCTATCTTCACAAATTGATTCATGCTAATTCCAGATAAATTTTTTGTGAAGCTCTTGGTCTAAGCAGCAGCTTGTTCTAGATCAAGCAGTAAGGAATAGTTGCAAGGAAAGAGGTGAGCTGAGGGTGTTTAGGTATTTTAACATTAAACCTTAATAGCCAAAAAAAGACATTTTATAAAATATTACTTAAGGCCATATTATTATATAAAATAATAGAAATAAGTTACATGTGTGTACAGTGATCAGATTGGAGTCTGGGAACTGGCAATCCCTGTTGAAAACACCTGCTCTGTTCTCCTTGAGTGTGGAAAGAGATCTGTATGGATCTATGCCCCCTGAATGGTGGAAACCAGCAGGTGTCTTTCTGCTAGAGAAACACAGCCATCTCTGAAGTCTGCTTTTCTGCTTTTTTGCTTGTGGCAGAGTTGCTCATCTCAAGTTTCCAACGTCCAGAGTTACTGATGCCATGTCAGGAATACACTGAGGTCTGGGCTGGGTGTAAGTGAACAGGGAAGGAGTTAAAAGTCAGGGCTGGCTTTCAAGGAGTAAAGTCCTTCAGGGCCTGTGGTTTTTGTGAATGGCATTAAAGGAGAGGGATGGGAGGGCTGTGATTTCAGAATGAAGCTAAAGATGAAGTGGAGCATGGCAGTGGCCGTGACCTACTTGTGCTGAGATGTGAGAGGGAGCCTAAGAACAACAGAGGGCCTGGCCTGCCTGCCCAGGCAGTGCTGGGGCTGAGTGCAGGGTGGGCTTTGCTGCTCTTCCAGGAGGACTGAGGGAACAGCAGAGGGAGTTCCAACAGATCCCTGTGTGCTTGTGTTTTGTTTTGCTTTCAGTGCAGACCAGTTGCTTTTGACAGGAAATTTAGTGCAGAACTTGTGGGTTTCCTTTCCTAAGTATCTTCAGTATTATGTGTCACTTCCTAAATAATTCTACACATTTTCTTGTCGTCCTGCAGCAGTGTCTAAAATAGGTTTCACGCTACTGAAGGGAAATGGCAAACTTGATTATTTTGTCACACCGCTTTCTAAAGGAGATCTGTATGTTAGGAGTTCACAGAACTTGTCTGATCTGAGGCATTGGTAGTGCCTTTCACTGTATGATGAAAATTCATTCTCACAGCCTATATAGGGTTTTTTTTTGGTTTCGGAAAGCATCACAATGAAATATTAAACAACTTACTGAAAAGAAAAATGATGACCATCTTATGTAAGAATTGTTGCTGATTGTGTAGTGATTGTTTTCTTAGTGTGAAGGAAATTCAGGGGAAAATCAGTTTATTTTGAACTGTACGAGCAGCTTAAGTTGCTAAGCTGTTTTTAATGAAATTCCATATAAAGAACACATGAAAAAAAATAATTGTTGCTTTTTGTAGCTTAAATAATTTATGGGTCATCCCCTCTTCCAAAAGTGTGCTGGGTATTTTTAGCCTTAAGAAGAAAACTACTCCATCAATAAAAGATTTAGAATTAGAGTTTGTTCCTGTCCTTGTTACTCAGTGAGAAGGCTCACAGGTAGGAACGGGGTTTAGGCCGCCCCTGTGCCCTCTGTGAACCAGCGTGGATGGGGCAGTGGCACTGCAGTCAGGCTGCAGGGACTTGCAGCTCTTGGACTGCCATTCCCAAACAGGTTTCTAGCTGTCACTGTCCCATACGTGACAGCCTCATGTGATGTGCTGGAACACAGAGATCTCTTGAGTTCTGAGCATTCCATGCCAGCTCTCATCCTGTAGACCTAATCCAGGAACTTTTCCCTCTGTAAAAGCTCACTCAGTGCATCCACAGCCAGTTTTGGTCAATAGCTGTGTTCACTTCTATGTGAGCATGAAAACTGGGCATTAATCAGTGCCATCAAAATCTGAAGGCTGCAGACACTTAAAGCACTGCTGCCTCTCAGATCCTTGAAATCATCATTGCCTTCAATTTGCTGGGAGCAGCCATAGGACTCATCCAGGGAATAGCTAAATCAGTGGTACCAGAGCTGACACTGAGCATTGCTGCAAGCTGCATTTGCTTTGTGCCATGCCAGGAACTCCTGCCAGTCAGGTCAGTGTCTTCACATGGAAACATCAGGGTTGGGGAGCCCTGGAGAAACAGTGGAAGCACCAGAGCACCTTGGCTGAATCCCACACAGAGCTTTGCTCCTGGCACAGAAAATGTCTTCTGGCAAATGGCACTCAGGTGTTTCATTACATGGTGACATAGTGCAGTAAAAGCACAGTAAAATAAGTTGAAGTGCTCTATTTAAATTTTTATGAAGATTTGAATTCCTCAGCAGAGAAAAAGTAACTGACTGTGCATGTGCAGTTTGCTGTGATGCAGTGAGAGGAGGGTTTTATTTCCTTGACTCTGAGAAAAAGAAGTCTTATAAGTTATTTTAATGCTGCACATTTGTGTACTTGTATTTTAGCCATCTTAAAAAATTCAGCAATGTGATCATATATGTGCCTTGAAAATGGTGTCTAGTGATGCTATAGTAATATATATGTACAGTATTGCCAACACCAGTATAAATGAGGAGAGACTAGGCAGCAAAATAATAAAAATCAATCTGACTTAATTTTAAATAATGTGTTCTTATTCCTGACTTGTCAAAATAAATGTGATAGAAATATGGAGTAATAAGAAATACTGTGTATTTTCCAATAATTCTTCGTACTTCTGTAAAAATATGCTTTTCTATTTCAGTTTAAGAGGCTTAGTTCCCAGAGAAATATTTTCATATTTTCAAGGTTTAAGTTGTGAAATGTTATGCACATCTTTGTTGAGTTTCTTCTGAGGATTACTTATGGTTTCAGTAAAACCCTACACCAAGCTGGTGTGTTATATCTGTGGCTGGTGTTATTTTAATTGGTAATCTTGTGTATGCTAAAGCTGAATTAACTCTTACTTACTCTGAAAAATTGTG